TGATTGCCCTGGGTAAGGACTACAATAGCAATGGATCTGCAAATGACATTTTCAAAAAATATTTCATTGCCTAATGCAATAGCAATAAATTCACTAACCCAAAGGTTTACCCTGTTTTGTCAATTAAATATTATTTCATTTTTATACTTTCATATTTTTTTCCAAAGGAGGTGAATCCTGGTGAAAGGGATGGGTAAGAGGCGTTAGAGTTTTATTTGCAAGATCACTGCAGATGTTGACAGCAACCACAAAATTAAAAGATGCCTGCTTCTTGGGAGGAAACCGATGACAAACCTCAACAGCATCTTTAAAAGCAGAGACATCACCTTGCCAACAAAAGTCCGCATAGTCAACGCTATGTATGGAAGTGAGAGCTGGACCATAAAGAAGGCTGACCGCTGAAGAATTGATGCTTTTGAATTGTGGTGCTGGAGGAGACTCTTGAGGGCAGGTCTAAAGTTTTTTTGTAACTTTTCTTGTCCTTTCTCTCAGGGAGCAAAATGTCTTGGGACCTGAAAAAGAAGTCTATGCTATTTCCTTGATGTGAACTTGTTGTACTATTCAAGAGTACAAGTTATCTTAAATTAATTATGTTTACTTTAAGATTACTTATATTTTTCCTTTCTTTTTTTTAGTATATTGTGCAACCAAACAAAAGCTGGCTGGTATGATTGAAATAGTGATTCGAACAGCTCCGGTTATTATTAACACATCTATCTGAACCTGATGCCTTTATATCAGTGTCTCTTCAACTCGCTGACCCAGGGGCCCTGTTTTTTTTTTAACTTAACCCTTTTCGATCCCCTGAACTAAGTTCAAAAACTTCTACTCCAAAGGTGAACAGGTTGAGATTCTGGATTCCATTACATTCACATAGGCTACTTGCTGCTCACATGGGGTTGTAGTTTGTGAATGTATATATATATGCCCAGCCACCCATGTGCTCAGAGTTGTGTCCAATAGGGAAAAAAACTGCTGAGCCTGTCTTCCTTTCCCTTACCCCTCTACGTCCTACTCTCTCGAAAACCCCTCCCTCCCCGTCGCTACCTCTCCCTGCCATTTGCTTATCTCTGCTGCATCTTCCGGTGAGCATCACAAAGCTTCTTCCTGGTTTATGGCGTCCTTCATTAAAAGAACAGGGATTCGAAAATGTGACTTGTAAAAATGGCTTCAAGTCATGAGTTGAGTCCGAATCATTGAGAAAACAACAACCCCAAGTTCAATCCGAATCGAGTCGCCAGTGCAACTTAAGCCAGACTTGACTGTGAGTTGTGAGTCTTCAACGGATATGGCCGCGTCTGCTATTCCCCCTCCACCATCTGCTACCCGAGGCAGTTGCCTCACACTGTCTAACGGCAGAGCTGGCCCTGACTGCCAATGAAGTTCCCCTGTCCAAACAGTCATTCCAAACTCATTTGCAGTCCTAAATATGAAAGCAAATACTGTATAACTGTATAATTGCACTGCAGTGAAACCAGTTGGCTGCTTACAAAACTGTCTGTGCACAGAATTGGTTTAAGCTTCAAGAAGGGCTCCATTCCACCTTTTCCCCCCGGGAGGTCATCACCTGTGGCCGCATATGACTTTGACAGCTGTTTAAAGAGACGTAATTGCATTTGTGACTTTTCGTTGGAATAGTAATTTGTGACTTCTATTCCATTTCAAAAGGTGGGCCAGGGCGGTCTAACTCAAATCCTGTTTTGATTCATTTACTTCAGAATGAGAAATTCAAAGGGAAATCAAAGCACCACAATTTGACCTTTGAGCAGCGTGAATAGCAGCAGCAAAGGAAAAGTACACGTTGCTACCCAATCATTCTCAGGAGACAGACATAAAAATACAAGGAGATCTTGGAAAAGTCTTAGTCTTCCTCAGCCAACATGGCATAAGGCAATTTTTCCCCCCACATTCTGAGTAATTATAAGACGAAGGGAACAGCCATTGTGAAGTGGAGCATAGAAAGACACACAGACACATCCTTGTTAACATACGATGGCCCGAATCTGCTAACTTAACGCCTGATGGTTTAAATTCATCAGGTATCCATCTCAGTTGCAAATCACTGCTGATTAAATTATCCGCGTTTGCAAACGAGTCATGTGATTTGGCCCTTGGCAAGAAAAGCAAACACTGTTTTCTTAATTAGTGGCAATTTGCCACTGAAATTTGTGCTTGTTGGCCTTATGCCAGGGCAAATCTTCGGTCAGATTCTGGTTAATATAAAGAAGTAGCTGGGGGGGGGGGCTTCCCTGATATAGTGCACAAAATGGACCCTTGAACTCATGAGATCTGGTGCCCTGCATTCTTCAATGCCATAAATTTATCAGGATCCATGATAACATGAAGAGTTCTGTTGCAGAGTTTTGAATTTCTGTTAAGATTCTCTTTTTGCTGCACAGTAGAAGTACAGAGGTCCACAGAGAAGAATAGCTACAAGTTCCCCATAATCCATCCCTTTCTCATTAGCTGACACTTAAGAGTCTCAATAACACAGTTGGAGACATTGGTAGAAAAAAATAAAAGCACTTCTTTACTTACAAGTGCTTGAAATTACAGATTTGTGTATGCTGCTTTCTTTCAGCACACCTATTCAGCCACTGATCAAAAGCAAACAAACAACTGCCACCAGTCAAGGAAAGAGAAAGGGCTAAAAGAGTACTCAACAGAAAGAAGGGACTCCCCTTGAAATCAAATACATGAACAATTGGGTAGCGCTGTATAGATAAACACTCCAGTGCAAAAAAGTCCCTCCCAGTCAAACAAACTACAGACGGCATTGTTGTTGTTGTTTAGTCATTAAGTCGTGTCCAACTCAGGATAATACTGGCCACAGTGACACATGCCTTAGTTAGATTTCTGCAACACCCTTTATGTGGGGCTGCCTTTGAAGAGTGTTCGGAAACTTCTGCTGGTTCAAAATGCTACTGCAAGACTACAAACTGGTGCGGGTTATAGGGAGCATGTAACTCTCTTATTACGACAGGTTTGCTGGCTGCCCGTTTGTTTCTGAGCCAAATTCAAAGTGCTGGTTATTACCTATACAGTAGTAACTCAGTTTACGAAGTAATTTTCGGTTTACAAAACAAAATCCATTGAAAATAATGCCTCTCTTTATGTTTTTTTTCGGAGCACAAAGCAAGTTTCCCCATATGCTGTGTTTTTAAATTTGTTGTTTTATCTGCTGTGAGCTGCCTTGGGCCCTCTATGAGGGGAAAGACAGTAGATAGATAGATAGATAGATAGATAGATAGATAGATAGATAGATAGATAGATAGATAGATAGATAGATAGATAGATAGATAGATAGATAGATAGATAGATAGATAGATAGATAGATAGATAGAATTAGGTGGGTAAAAAACACACAGAGGTTGCTCTGAGCAACTTTGCGCAGGAGTGAGATAAAAGTAATAAATAAGAAAGTATTTGATTGTATTTCCATTCAGGGAGGGCAGTACTTTCAGATAATTAGGATCAATCAAAATTAAGTTTCTCGAAATTTTGTGATGGAGCATGCCAGCTGCTGAACCCCACAGAGTTCTTCCTGAGCTCATGTTCCTCTCACAGATGATGGCTAAGAGCAGACCATAGTGTTTTTCGAAAGCACTAATGCATACTGTACATCAGCTTCTTAGTAATGCAGTAACCTTTTAAGATCATACCTCTCATGGAGACCGAAATCTTGTTGCTTAGGATACTAAGGGCATGTCCAGATAGGGGAAGTTTTGCACTTAAAGGGTTCTTCTATGTTACCTCTCGCTTGAGCAATTCTTCCGTTCACAGTGATCAATATTTCTTCTCCCATGAGAAATGTCCAGACAGTTCTTTGGATCACTCAAATTTGTCCCCCTTTCAATTAATGACACTCCCCTTCCCTACCTTTTCTCGTAGTCATCATTCAGTGAGTCCTGATGATTTTCCTCTATTTTGTTAAATAAATTAAGTAACATAGCACAACAGCAATGCATCTACCTAGCATAATACACGTAATACTGCCAATGTATCTTGTTTATCTAGAATAGCGCTGTATCAATAGGAAAATATAGATTAAAATATTTAAAATGGCAGAGGAGATAAAAATAGAGGAGAGGGATTCTCCATTATCCCTTTCAATGTCACAGCCCACCAAAAACATCACAGGGTTATCTCCTCAGATAACATCACCTACAGCTCTATTGGGTGCAAGCTAACTACCCACACGGGCTACAGAACGGGATAACGAGGAAGGCTTCAAATTGCACCCGATACCCTGTAGCCAAAACGGAGTGGGGCAGCTCTAAAAAAGGAGGGCGGGATGGATTGCTCTAAGTCAAAACATGTGTAGACGCCATAATTTGATTCAAACCAAAGTGCACCAAAAGTGTTCCAAATAGTGAGCTATATGCTCACCTGGCTGTGCTTTGTGTTGCCATGGAGTAGATCCACTGAATCAGTAAGGCTTTGATGGACCATCTCCTCTATAAGGTCCATTGCTTCAAATGGGTCGATGCCAGCTGTGACTTACTACATCGAATAATTGATCCAATGGGATTTGCAGAGGAATTGTTCCATCAAATCCCAAGTCATTCAGTGAGCCAACTCTTGTGCAGCTTTCCATCTTAAGCAACAGGATTTCAGCCTGTTTGTTAACAACCATTCTGCAAATGTGTTCATTTCCAAAGATGATTATTTTAAACTCTTAGTTTGTCTCACTTATTTACCTGCAAAAAAATCAGATCCCACAGCACCAAGGTTCTTTTTTAAATATATATATAAAGAGGTATATCTATTGCTGTTTATCTGGATAACCTTTATATTGCTTTACAGCATGTTCCATTTATTGTAATCCATAAAGATAAGCCATACGCCCTTAAAAGCTTTTCAAGAGGTCTCAAGGTACATAAATGTGTCCAGTTTTTTCTAAATACCGCCTTCTCACTTGCAACCCTCTGACTCGCATGCTCTCTGTTATGCTCTCCAGCTGGATCTGATACATCAAGATCACAGGAAAAATATTAGAAATGTCACAAGAAGAAGACCTCATACATAGGTTCAATGGAATTACTTTCACTACCAGATCATCTCCGGAGCTTTTAAAATCCCTGGTTACATTCAATGCTAGAGAAGATGATGTTCTCTTGGTTTCCTACCCAAAGTCTGGTAAAGTCTTGTCTGAAACTTGTGTGGAGGGATTTCTAATGAACAATGTGCTATTTTCGGTTTCGTTTCCTTGAGTAGAAAGTGGTATGTATAAGAGAGAGGAAATCAGGGAAAACTGCTGTTTTAAAGGATGTGCAAATGCTTGATTTTATAAGAAAAGAGAATGGAAATGCTGCTGTAAATCCTAGAATCCCCCAGTCAACATGGCTACTAAGGACTATGGGGACTGTAGTTTTTTGTTTAGTTTTGTTTTGTTTGTGTTTTAATGTCTGTTCCAAGCTCTCTTTGGGAAGGACTACCCTGTTTCCCTGAAAATAAGACCTAACTTGAAAATAAGCCCTAGTATGATTTTTCAGGATGCTCATAATATAAGCCTTACCCCAAAAATAAGCCCTCCAACCTTGTGCAGCAACCAGAAGATGACATGAATGCATTTGAATCAATGTAGATAGTTGTACATGGGGGGGGGGGAAGCCCTACTGCATTTTTGGAGCAAAAATTAATATAAGACCCTATCTTATATTCAGGGAAACACGGTAACTGATATTCAAGAGGACAGCCAAACAAGAATTTTGATATGGTTATGGACCATGTACTACCACAATCTTTTTATACTGATCTACTTTTACAAAAGATATAGCAAGGTACAGAAATGGTGGTTCAAACTGTCAAGGGCTTGAACAGTTCAATTCTCTAGTCATACAGTACATTCTCTAGTCAGGCAGAATCTGTTCTCAATCATCCCAGAGTCCAGGGTACATAATAATGGACTCAAGTTACAGGAAACCAGATTTTGGCTGAATATCAGGAAAAATGTCTTAACTGTTAGAGCAGTACGTCAATGGAAACATTTGTACATTGGGAGGTGGTGAGTGCTCCCAACGCTGGAGGCATTCAAGAAAAAATTTGAACCACCCAATCCGCTTCGATTTGGATTCCTGCCTGGAGCAGGGGGTTGGACTCAATGGCCTTATAGGCCCCTTCCAACTTCGTTATTCTATGAAACCTGCATCATCCAGTGAAGCAGAACAGTTAAAAGAGAGCTAGAAGGGAATGTCTTTCACGCAACACTGTGTTGTTCAGCTCTGGAATTAACAACAGCAGAAGGTAGAGGTGGTATTAAAGGAGCATTAGCAAATTCTTGGAGCATTAGACCATCAGTGACTGCTAATTGTGATGGATCTCTAGCAACCTCTTGTATCAGAGTCATGATGACTCTTAATCCCAGTCAATGGAGATCATAGATGAGAGAATGATGTTGCCCTTGTGTTCTACAAGTAGATATTCCGCAGTTCTCTAGTTGCTGGACTCCAGAATCCTTTGTCTGATCCAACAGGGGTCTTCTCCTGTTCTTACATCTTAATCTCAGTGTTGTGGTCAAGGTGTGTCAGGGCCAGAGTTTGGGGAAGTTCCTTTTTTTGACTGTTGCTATAAAAAGTTGGAAGCAGGGGGGATCCATCTGATTAAATTCTGTTCAGCAAACAGACGCAAGTGCACACTGCAGTCTAGACTTCCTAAGTGCAGAGAAAAATGTTGTATGCAAGAACACACGTCTGAATCCTTATCTCAAGTGTGGCAGCCAGAGTTTAAGGACCTCATTGGAAACTACACTTCCATCTTTTCTTCATTCTGAAAATATGGGATATTTAATGACTCAGTTGTGCTCTATCTGTACCTATTTTCAACCCCGTTCTTGAGAAATGTTTGTGACTAAGGCTTATATTAATATATATTAATCAATTTTATAGCTCTGTTGTTTACACACCTGGCTAGGGGGCCAGAGGTTGGGAGTTCGATTCCCAACAGTGCCTCCTGCAAGTAGAGCCAGCCTGGGTGGCCTTGGGCAAGCTGCACAGTCCCAGAAAGAGTACTCTCTACCTGGAAAGCCCTAAAAAGGGTCACCATAAGTCAGAATTGAGACCACATATATTCTATTCTATTCTATTCTATTCTATTCTATTCTATTCTATTCTATTCTATTCTATTCTATTATATTATATTACTATGTTGGCTCTATCATGAGAAGACAGTGCTCACTGAAAAAGATACTGTAATTATGTTAGGAAAAGTGGAAGGAGGAAAAGGGCAAATGAGGTGGAGGAACCCAATAAAACAAGGCTAGTCTTTTAGTTCACAGAAGGGACATGGTGGCACTGCGGGTTAAACCACAGAAGCCTCCGTGCTGCCAGGTCAGAAGACCTGCAGTCGTAAGATCGAATCGACGCGATGGAGTGAGCTCCCGTCACTTTGTCCCAGCTTCTGCCAACCTAGCAGTTCAGAAGCATGTAAAAATGCCAGTAGATAAATAGGTACCACCACGGTGGGCAGGTAACAGCATTCCGTGTCTAGTCGCGCTGGCCATGTGATCACAGAAAATTGTCTTTGGACAAATGCTGGCTCTATGGGTTGGAAACGGAGATGAGCACCGCCCCCTAGAGTCGGACACGACGGGACAAATTGTCAAGGGGAACCTTTACCTTTAGTTCACAAGACCCTGGGTAATGTTGTTTGGAAGCTGCTACCCAACGTAAAACATAGTGCAATTGCCCTTATGACAAAGGGAATGTAGAACCAAAGGCACACACTTGCTGGCTGGAGTGTCTAAAGTTGCACAAATGCTGGAAAGATGAGTCAAGTATGGTGGATAGTATAATTGGACAGTCAGTTGGAGGTGAAAGGTGAATTGTTACTCTTGTCATTGTTAATGGGATTGGAGGAAAATCTCCCTCATAAAACGAATCCTGCAATCACAAGCAATAGGGAGGTTTAGGCACTGCAAGGAGCTGAAAACATTTGATTCTGTACATACCTGGTTGAAAGAAGCATGGATGTTGGAATGGGCAAATTGACTCAGAAAGAATACCCAGCAAGAGGACAAGCACACCATGAGCAATCTGTTGAGCAGGGGCTTGAATGTATTAATTATTTGACTATATGTGGGCAATTTTGACCTGTATACAGAACAGCTCATACAATTCTTGACAAATATCACATTTTAAAAAGCTTGTAGTAATAATATGAGCAGCAATATTTGTTTGTTTGCTTGTTTGAAATAAAAAAAGGATCCAAAGCAGCTGACCCCCCCCCCTTTAAAAGACAATATTTAAAAGCTAAAAACAGTAAGTGTACAAATATTGTATTCTCGAAGGCTTTCACGACCAGGATCCGATGGTTGTTGTAGGTTTTTCAGGCTGTCTGGCCATGTTCTAGAACACGGCCAGTCAGCCCGAAAAACCTACAACAACCATGTACAAAAATGAATACAAATGGCAAACAAAATCAACAAAATTTGCCTGATTCCTTTTTGGAAAGGTGTGTTTGCAGCCAACTTGAAAGCGAGGCGGTGCGTGAAAGTTACTACACGCCTCCAACAACGCTGGGGTTAGGGGCGCCAAACCCTCCTGTAAGGTTCAAAATCCATATACAAATAAAACTCTTATGCCCTAAAAACACAAAAGAATACACTGTTGATTAACGCACACCTAAAGGCAGCTAAAGAACACACACACAAAAAAGACTCTTTCAGAGGGAGAAAGCAGAGGCGCAATCTCTCATTGGCAGAGTCCCTCCCCTGATCCATGTCAGCCTCCCGGCATGCCCCTTCTCAGCCACCACATGGAGCTCCCATGCCAAGAGAGGGAGTTGGCCATGCGCCACCACAGCGCCAACCATAGGGGCTGTGGTAAGTTCGAGACCCATCTTTCTCAGGCTACGTCCTGCAGGCAAATAGCAGCACAGATCTGAAGGCCTTAGGAATGGACCTCAACAGATGGGAAACTCTGACATCTGAGCATTCAGCCTGGAGGCAGGCAGTGCATCACGGCCTCTCCCAATTTGAAGAGACCCTCGTCCAGCAGGCCGAGGCAAAGAGGCAGTCACGAAAGCAGCAAAATCAGGGAGCTAGACGGGGTACAGATTGCATTTCTCTTCAGTGTGGAAGGGATGGTCACTCTCGAATTGGCCTTCTCAGCCACACTAGATGCTGTTCCAAGACCTCTATTCAGAGCAAATTACCATAATCTCTCAAGGCTGAAGGATGCCTAATGATTTATTGAATATTTATTTATTTAGAGAAATATTTATTTATTTGATTGGTTGAAAACTAATCCGTGCACCACCAAAACCATGCTACTCAGACCCATGCAATTCAAGGGACAAGTGTCCTGTTCAGACCTACCTCTCTGGTCACTTGGGGTTACCATCTTCTGACCAAATGGGAGGTCCATTGTGGCCTTCCTCTGTCCAAAGTCTCTGTATCCCACCTGGCACTTTAATTTCGCATGTGGGTGATTTTTAAGACCTCCTTCTGCTCTTCTCTGCTGCAGGCACTCACTGGCTTGCTGAAATCTTAATGCACCTCTATGCCTCCCGAGTGGCTCTCACTTCACCCATCGAATTTGGAGACGTCTCCAGGCTGGACCAGCTGAACTGCCTTTCCTGTAAGAGAATCATCCCGACCCATCTGGATGGCAACATGTTGCCGCCCACTTTCAGGCTTAAGAAATGCAAGGTAAGATACACTTCCATTACTACCAATTCCGGCTGAGGCCCAATGTCTACTGTTCTTTTAGCTGTGCACCGTGATTTCCAAAATTTGGCACTGTTTTGCAGTAAGCCAATTACAATATAAATTGCAAATATGCACACACTATGGTCTGGATCCAGCTGTACTTGTGTGTGTCTGTGTGTGTGTCTGTGTGTGTGTGTGTGTACACACACACACACAAAGTGGTCATGAACTCCAGTGTTCAAAAGCTCCACAAATCTTTTCTTTCAAGCTAAATTTCATGTGCACCCTTAATCATGACTAAGGACCATAAAGTGTGGAGCAGAGAGAGAATTTAACTTTTCCCTAGGCTTTGATTTATCATTGGACCCTCTATCTAGTAGGTAGCTTTCAACATTATTTTTAAAGGGGTTTTTTTGAAGATATATTTTGTTATCAATTTCTATACCATTCTCTTATGGGTAGCATAACACAAAGTAGCAGAAAACCAGTGGGCACTGGAACAAGCAACGCAATAAGTTACTTTTAAAGCACGATATGGAGTAATGGCAGTAAATTAAAATTTGGAAAGTAGCAGAAATCCAGTGAGCACTGGAACAAGCAACACAATAAGTTACTTTTAAAGCACAGTATGGAGTAATGGCAGTAAATTAAAATTTGAATATTATAAAGAGCAATGGGAATGGATTGTATTTTGTGGTGAACTTTCCAAACTCTGATCACCCCACAAATCACTGATTCGTCCTTCTGTTCTCTGGAACATTCCGTGGCACATGAGCGGCCAGCCTGGGGAAGTTTTTCAAAGAGCTACAGAAAGAGTCTCTCTCTTAAAGCGCGTTGTGGCAAGCCAGACCTAGTTATATAGCAAGACTTTGATCCCAAAGTAATACAGTATGTGAGCAGAAGATTTGATCCAGATCATGATTTAGGGAAGGCTGTCACTCAGTGGCATACACTGGGTATCTCAGGCCACCCCTTTGAAAGCCGTGTGGGTCTGGAGGTGAGGACATCACCCCCTGGTTTCAGACACATTCGCTACGTTATGCTTTGTTCTCCTGCCCATTTCCTTGTTTGGCTGGCTTAGGTTTGTGGGACGGAGGTTCTCCTCTCACGTAGACAATTTGGAACTAGGTAGATTCATGGCCAGATTCCATATAAGAGAAGCTTCCTGCTTTCCTACTAATGTGTTGTCTTATTTCGTAGGTTATTTACTTAATCAGAAACCCAAAAGACATTGCTGTTTCCATGTATCATTACTACAAAGAGAATCCCAATCTTCCCACGGTTGATTCCTGGCCTCGTTTCCTGGAGATGTTTTTAAAAGGAGATGGTAAGACCAAGTGCGCCCCATCCCCATTCTCCTTCTAAATTCAAATGTTTTGTTGTGCTGTCAAGCCGCCTCTGACTTATGGCAACCCTCAAAGGGCTTTTGAAGGGCGTGAGATGTTCGAGGAATGATTTTCCAATTCGTCTGAGTGGGGATTTGAATCCAGGTCTCGTGAGCCTCATCAAACACATTATCTGTAACAGTGCTTCTCAGAAATTCAAACATCTTGATGTGGGCCTTGAGAGACCCCAGGAATGCTGAGCCTATATACCAGGTCTATCTCCATGGTTTTGGGAAGAGGTCCCACTCTTTCCTTACAGTGTACATTTGTTTTTTAACAACGTTCTGTGTCTAGTCGCACTGGCCACGTGACCACGGAAACTGTCTTTGGACAAATGCTGGCTCTATGGCTTGGAAACGGGGATGAGCACCGCCCCCTAGAGTCAGACACGACTGGACTAAATGTCAAGGGGAAACTTTACCTTTACAGTACATTTGTTTTTATTTCTTCACGTCTCCCCAAAAGAACTAAACCTGCAAGCCAGAGCTTGGAAAATATACATTTACATGTGGGCTGGAGTATTCTGGGAGTTGTTGCCAGTGTTGTTACGAATTGCTTCCTTCAAATAGGGTATTCAGGAATGTGATGTGTTCATGGCGTGGTTTATCATTACAATCCCTCCCAGTGATTAAGCAGAGATTTGAACCCAGGTCTCCCGAGTCATAGTCCAACACGTTACCCATGAATACCACACTGGTTGTTCTCCCAGAAGTCACAGCGTAGACTTGAATTCCCAGCTCCCACTTCCATGGCCAGCTGCTCCTCCCAACTGAGCGGTCTAGCCAGTTCTTTATTCTGAAAGTTGATGTGCCAAAAATAACATTTTCGAGAGCTGTTCTAAGGAGGAGAAATGTTGATTCTCTTGATCTTTTGGCTGTTGACTTCCACAATCGCAGGTGCTTAGGGCTGCTGCGACCACAGATATCTGGAAAGCCAAAATATCTGTGGGGTGCATGTGTGCCCCCCCCATCTTCTAAACTCATAGAAGGTTGGCATTTGTATATGGAGACTTGTATTCTCAATACCTTTTGCCTTGTATCCCTGTTGGTGATTTTGGATTTCCACATCCATGTCCCCATGATCTGTTTTTATTGCAGGTCCTTTAATACTCTGTTGAGGTCAAGACTATAAGGGTCTTGTTCTTGTTATCTAACTACTGCTCACACCAATTTATGGCACGGCTGTAAACATTTGTCCCCGTGGAGCTGGTGCTCCAAAGATCAACCAAGCAGGGGAAAAAAAAGAAGGTGTCATTAACGATGGAAAAAACCAAGGGACATTTTGATCTGTAATGTAACATAAAGAAATAATGATAATTTACAGTGTGCCCTGAGATGCCTGCCTCCCTGGCTCCTGATTTAGCTAGAGGGCAACATGTCAATTTAGTTATCATAGAGTAAGAGGACAAGTCCTCTCGTGAAAATATTTATATGTTAAATAGGAGAAAAGACGGTGGAAGAACCACTGCATATTCTCACAATGTAGGAAAATATAAAGTAAATGCCCTCAACGATTTTTTTTTAGAATGGATATTATTTAACTCATTCAGAAATATTCTGCATTGGATCAACCTGTACGGGAAGGAGCTTTTTATTCTGGGTGCTAAAAACCCAGGACAGGTGCAAAGGAGCCACAAAAGAACCTTTCCAAAACAAGGTGAATGAACCACCGAGTGGAAAACGTGGTTCGGTCTTAGTGAATGCAAAGTAATTCATACTGCTCCCAAAAGAAAAGCTAAATTTACATGTATGTAGATGAGATTCGGACCCTAACAAAGGAAGTGATGTCATGATCTTAGGGTAGGTAAATCAGTAAAAATCTCACATCCCTGGCCAAAATCCTATTGAGTGTTTATGCTGGCATAACACAGCTGGTAAGAACTTTGCTGGTGAATTGCTTAACTTGCAAAGTTTGTGTAGGCATTAGGTGTTGTATGCTGAGGTGCACAGCTAGCTCAGAATAGCAAATGCCTACAATGATTGACTCACTTGCAGCCTTTTGCCAAAAAGAATTATACCAACTGCATCATGCTGGTGGGAATACTTAACAGGATTTGGGCCACTGGGTGGTAACTACATAGGACCAACTGTATGCTAGTGTTGATTAAAAAGCGGGTTACAAGTTAAACCGGTGCCATCGTTGTACCTTGTTTTTATACTGCTATGGTGCGGCTGCATGCTGAAGATTGAGTTGTCTCATTTCAAAATGGATATTATCGATCTAGAAAAAAAAGTGACCTAAATCATGAAGGTGTTTTAATATGTTGAGGGAAGGAAGGTAGACACAGCTGTGATCATCTACTGGAATTTTCCCTATCCTTATATCTTCCAGATGTGGCAACCACAAATCCCATTGTCTCTAATCAAGGCTAAGGACAATGGGACCTTTAGTACAACGTAACTGGAGGATGCTAAATTTGGGAGGGCTAATCTACTCTGAGAACTTTAACAGATCATTTCCTTGTGGAGGAGCATGGGATTTGTGACTTCCCATGCCTTCGGATTCAAGCTCAGGGTGAAAAGAAAGTACAAACCGATGGGACAGTGTCAAAAAAAAACTCACTCATGCCATTCCCAGTTATGGAAAAGTCTGGGGCTATAAACTGATGGGACAGTGTCAAAAAACCCTCACTAGTGCCATTCCCAGTTATGGAAAAGTCTGGGGTGCCTTCACTTGACCTTAGTCAACCTTCCCTGTTCCATCCCACCTTTTCTTAAAGAGAAGTTTCAAAGATCAGTTTGATCAGATGAATAGGGAAGGAGGGAGTTGACTTAGAGATGGAATGGAAAATGATGGCATCTGTAGTCCCATCCTAAAGAGCACATCATGTTCTCCACACTGAGTTTCGGAGCTTGGAAACATTATTTTTGAGTATTGCAATTCCCAGAATCCTTGGGATTTGGAGCGTGGTAGTCTGAAACAGTAAATCACTTGGGTTCTGCTACGTTTATCATAGCCCTCATGACTCATAGCCACTGATGGCCTCCATGGCTTCTGACAGTCAACAGAGCCAGCTATGAAGATAGTCACTGCTGCTATTCTGCTTCAATTGAGTATCAAAAGACTATAAATTAATAGCAGAGCAGAGGCCTTTCATATGAAAGGTCTAGGGTTCATGATCCAGTATCTTCGTGTTGAGCTGAAATAGACTCTCTCCCTGATATTGTACACTCCGAGTAGATAATGGCTGCAATCAGATCGGCATTTATCCCACTGTTTGGTCTAGGTTGAGGACAGGGTGGTTTGCAACTTTTCCTCGTGATCACATGACGTGCATGCCATCTTGAGCCCGCCTGCCCATGATTGATGCCTACCTGTACCTTTTTTGGTCCCTGTTAGGGGCTACTGTGTTTTTTGGTGTGGGTAGAATCACTCCATTTTGGTTCAGTTCCAGCGGGTGTGATCACTGGAAATGAACCAGAGAGGCTGGCTGGCTGTCGCTTTGCTGAAGCTCCTTAACAATCTCGTGAAATGGAAAACCCTCTCAAAGTAGCGCTGATGCACTGTGTCACTTAACTACAGAGTGGCTGTCACTTTGCTGAAGTTGCTTAACAATCTCGAGAAATAGAAAGCCCTCTCAAAGCAGCGCTGATGCACTGTGTCACTTAACTACAACTAAAATGAAATGGGAAGCTTCCTCTCTCTTCCCCTTTGCAAATAAACTGAAACTTCCCATTTGTCCAGATCACTAAGTGGCTTGGGAAAATCATGGAAGAGGAGACAGGAGAGGGAGTGCTTTACTTTGTTTTGTTTCCTTTCCCTACAAAACAGAACAAAAAATCCCTTTACTGTCTCCTCTGTGCTTTGTCTATGCTGCTTAACGATCTTGAGAATTGTGACGCTTTCCCTTTAAAGGGATACAAGTTTTGATCATGTTGAAGGGGGGGAGATTGAGGTGAGGAGCAGTGGACCCTTGCATGCAGATGCAACGATCATTCCAAATGAGCAATCCTACGAAGCAGGATCTAGACAGATCCAAGCCAGGATAATTCAGCCATCTCGGTGCACCCAATGTTGAGCGGTTCCTCATATTCCTGAGTGCATGAAGATGCCATAGAACAGATATGTACAGAGTTGTGCTTGTTTTTTTTTTGTTGTTCATGATACAACACTTCAGGGGCTCTTTAGGGTCTCCTCTAGACTTAGCATTTACCAGGTTCTGTATTGATTTTATTAGTATATTTCCCGCCATACACACAAAGTTCATCCTGTCTCAACACAGTTCCCATGGTTCCCTTTGCTTTCTTCTTCCTCCAGAAACCATGTTTCATTTTTAGCCTCACTTCATTCCAGAGGGACAGAGTTTACCACTGATGGCATTTTCCATGAAAGTTCAGGTCTGCAGAGAGAGAGTTTTCCCGTGAGACGCGATAAATTTGCACCACATCCTGTTCTCCTTCTTCTCCCTCTTTGAAGAGATCAAGCTGAGAAGCTCTTGCAGGGAAATGGATTCCTTTATTTTATATATTTTTCTGAAAAGATTTCTAAAAGATGTTTTAAAGAGAAGTGGGCTAAAAGAGAACTGTAAACATGACTCTTAGTGCCAGGTGGTAGAAAGAGGGAAGGGACAAAATGCCCCGTCTGAGAGAGAGAGTCCCAAGCCACAAATCTTTGGTAGGATTCACAAAAATCTTATTTTTATTCTTCTTTTTACAGTTGTCTGTGGATCATGGTTTGATCACGTTTTAAGCTGGGAGAAACACAAAAATGAGAAGAACACCCTGTTCTTGTTCTACGAAGACATGAAAAAGGTAGGTAGATAGAGATATATAATTATATATATTATATGTTATTCATATTATTTATAATGCTGAAAAAGGCCTTGAAGGGAAATGCAGAGAAACTGATTTCTTTACACTAGTGTGTGTGTGTGTGTGTGTGTGTGTGTGTGTGTGTGTGTGTGTGTGTGTGTGTGCGCGCGTGTGCGTGTGTGTGTGCGCGTGCGTGCGTGCACAAAAGACAAATGCATCTAATTCACTGAAACATTTAAATGCCTCTGGAAGTGCTTTGCTTGAAAATCAAAGATCAAATGTTTGCCAGCTTTTATTCTGATCTCACCTTTCCTTCCAGAAAGGTTAGGGTTAGGGTTCCTAACAACCCTGTCCTCACAACCACCTCAGGGTTGACTGAACAAGAACTTTGTGGCTGAGTTGGAAGTGTAATCTCAGTTCTCCTGGGCCGAAGGTCCACAACAGTCCATCTCAACATGGCAACTGTTTATGTTTTTGTTGTTCATCCTTGGGGGTGAAGACCTATAGTCCCTTGGTAGAGCACCATCGGTGTGAGCTGAAACTCTTCCAACAATCCTACTGGCTCTCAGTGAGAGGGAAGGAAACCAGGGTCCTCTCCAGAACGTCGCCTCCATTACCTTATCATCTCCATAGCCTGTATTTCCAAACCTTGCTAAAACACGGGGAGCTGGCTTTTCTAAACGGCAATGTTCGCCATGACGCTGTAGTTTTCCACTCTCCGTTTAATTATCGTAAGTGCCCTTGACTGATTAGGACAAATTTAGAGCTGAAAAAAAAAGTGTCAAACATTAACCCTGTGAATTAGTTTTATGATCTGATCCCTCATGACTAATATTAGCTAAGAATCATGTATTAACTTTCTCTCTGCGTTGGCCAGGCACATTTCGGTCAAAAGTAAAAACCTCCCCCAACTGATTTCAGTGGGAAGCGCATAAAGACATGATACAAATTCACAAGATTCAAACTATGTGTGGTTGGACCCAGTCCAAAGTAAATGCACATATGCACAAACGCATGCACGCACATATGTGCACACACATCCCATAAGGAAGGAGAAGGACCCCCATCAACAGTTAGAACCTGGACAACAGAAGGAGAGACAAACTGGTTGCGCAGCTCCAGGTCTTCTCTTGAGAAAGGTTTAAAATCTAGAAATTCATAAATTTCCAGCTACGCATAGAAGCATTTGCCACATCTAATGCAAAGGGACATTTTCCCTTATCTTCTTGAAATCCTTCCTTGTTTAGTGAGGCTTACACCCCCTAGTGGACGTATTTGGGATTGTAGCCTTAAACTCCTTTTAACCCTACCTTCTTTTAACTCTGATCAGAACTGAGTTAAAAGTATTCAAAACCGCTGTGGTATATTTTACCTTTTCCCAGGATCTACCTACCGTGGTTCGGAAAGTGAGTGCCTTCCTAGGAGTCAACATCTCCGAGGGCAAGATTAACGAAATCTGTGAAAAATCTTCCTTCACCAAAATGAAAATCAACACGGCGAGAGAAAGTCACGACCCCAGTTGGACAGTCTGTGTGCTCACGTCCGTCCGGAAGCTGGTATTCCGAAAAGGTAATCTGACGTTTGCCTGCTGGCCCTCTTCAAATGAGTGACACAGATTAGATGTAACTAGTTACAATTGGAATTGCAGCTAGTTAAATGGAATGAATTCCTTTCCCCAGTCATTGTTAACTGGCATTACCACCTCAACATAGTGAAACATAATGTCACTTCTTTTGCAAAAGAATGCTAAATTTTCAATTCCTTCGACAGCCATAGAGGAATGGCCTCACTCCATAGTAGAGGGGGAATACCCCATGGTTCATGTGCTGGCTTATGGTGGATGCCTGGTATTGTGGCCTCCTGAAGTGTTGAGGTGCCATCAAGGCTGACAAGAGGAGAGTTTTGTGCCATTGTTGTTGTTGTTTGGTCGTTAAATCGTGTCCGACTCCATGTGACCCCATGGACCAGAGCACGCCAGGCCCTCCTGCCTTCCACTGCCTCCTGGAATTGGGTCAAATTCATATTGGTAGCTTCGGTGACCCTGTCCAACCATCTCGTCCTCTGTTGTCCCCTTCTCCTCTTGCCTTCACACTTGCTCAACATCAGGGTCTTTTCCAGAGAGTCTTCTCTTCTCATGAGATGGCCAAAGTATTGGAGCCTCAGCTTCAGGATCTGTCTTTCCAGTGTTTTTTTGCCATAGGAGTATTTTAAGTACCTAAATAATTAACCTTTCAAGCTACATCTGTAAAACAGAAAACAAAGACCAGCATCTACTTCAATAATTTACGCACACAGCGCTCCTACAGTGAAAGCTGCTGCAGAAACATGACCACGTGGACTAAAATGTCAGCACTGGCGACTCTTTGTCTAGCTCAGGTGAAACCTGAAAACAACTACCTCTGAGCTGGTTCTGCAGCCGCCATTTTGAAGCATGCATTTAACGACGGAATTTGACCCAAACATCTGGTTTTGGATCTTGGGACTTGTTTGTTTCTTCTGCAATATCCCCAGCTCCGTAAGGTCCATCCTGATGAAGACTTCTCTTGAGTAGGCATGGGACTTTATTTATTTTAGACTGCATCTCTCAGAATTCAATAGGAATCCTACCCACCCCCAGCAGAATTTAAGGAGGTGCACCAAAAAGTGAAAGTCCATAGAGCATACTGTGTCTCTGGACACCATTTCAAGAAGGAAACTGGCCTGGTGGTTCTTGGGAGACAGCTTTTTGTGGGAGCCCCAAGAATTTGTGGGAGGGGTAGTTTTCTGGGAGGTGCCTGCTTTAGAACCTAAAAGGGAACAAGGTTACTCCTCTCATGAAGCCCTGCAACTTCCACGAAGCACTGTGCCTCACGGGGACCGCCAGTGTACAAATAGGGCCATCTGCTCCGTTGACTTTAATTTTTTTTGTTGCATCTCCCAGAATTCTGTTTTTTTTTGGGGGGGGGGTTCCTGGTGAATTCTGGGATTTTCAGTCCAAAAGAAACTAAAGTCCCATGCCTACTCTGTAGTCACAAGCGAGCTTCTGTTTATGAGATTTTAGTGGTCTAATAAAGGTATAGAGCTGGCTGGAAAGCCCAGAGAGTTAGGTTTCTGCCTGAAGAGCCAGAGGTTGGGAGTTTGATTCCCCCCTGGGCCTCCTAGGGGAAGAGCCAGCCTGTGTGTCTTTGGGCCAGCTGCACAGTCCTAAAATACTCCCAGAAGAAGGGAATGGGAAACCACTTCTGAGTATTCTCTACCCGGAAAACCCTGAAAAAGGTCACCATAAAACAGAATAACACCATAAAACAGAATAATAATAGTGTGACTTGATAGCA